GTTGCCCCCTTTCCGGGCTATTGTTGAGTTGTGGGTCCCTTTCATTGTGTTCTTAATTGATATTACGGATATTTAGGTTAATGATTCTCTGTGTTAANNATGCCTACCACAAGATATAATGAAATGGGAGCAGGTGGTACGCCTACCATGAGATAAATGAAATGGGAGCGGGTGGCACGCCTACCACGAGATATAGTGAAAAGGGAGCGGGTGACACGCCTGCCGCGAGATACAGGAAATGGGATCGGGTTGCATGCCTGCAACAAGATGTGAAAGGTAAGTGAAATCTGCCTTTGTTTTCCCTACTCTTGTTAGTGGTTGGATTTTGATTCCTTTATAGTTCTCTTGATATTCTGTTTTTACCTGTTATTCCCCGAAGCATGTTTCCCCTTCCCATCTTTACTTGTTTACTCCTGCTTTACTTTTCGTTGTATATTATATAACTGCACAGGTTTATTTGGTGGTCTGGTCCTAGCCTCATCACTACTTCACCGAGGTTAGGCTAGACACTTACCAGCACATGGGGTCGGTTGTGCTGATACTACACTCTGCACTATGTGCAGATCCCGGAGTAGCTCTTGGACCATAGTTGGAGGCTACCTTTAGTCCACGCGGAGATCCAAGGTAGACCTGTAGGCGTCCGCAGGCCCTAGCGTCTCCTCTATCTTTTATTTCATGTTTCATCTTTTGCTTCAGAAATAGTGTGTCTTTTATTCTCGGACCTTGTATTTAGCAGTCTTAGAACGTTTGTGACACTGTGACACCAGGTTTTGGGTGATTAAGGCTTAAGTAGTTGTAATCGCTACAGAATCAGATATTTTATTGTTTTTCTTCCACTTAATTAAATATTCCATTGTTTATACGTTATCGCTTTATAGCTGTTAAAAAGAATTAATTGGATAATGGAGTAATTAGTTTAAAGGATTGGCTTGTCTAGCTCACATTAGTAGGCGCCATCACGACTCCTGAAGGTGGAAAATCCGGGTCGTGACAAAGTTGGAGGGGACGACCTTCATGGGTGTATCCATGGTCAACCCACTATGGCGTTGTACGTGGTATCCTGGTCCATGATATGGAATGTTGTTTCAGAGTCACGCCATTGGAGAACACTGGGAGCATGATTTCTCTGGATGTCTGCTTAACTGCATTGTTAAAACCAATTAGCGTGATGCAACACGACACTATCTTGTCTTCGAGTCTCATTTGGGTGAGCATTCGGGGATGGATAATGCACGCGCCGCTCCCGTTATCTATCATAATGTGTTTAACATCAGTATGAAAAATACGTAAAGTAATAACGAGGGCATCGTTATGAGAAAATGTCAAACCATCAGTGTCTGACTTATCGAAGATGATATTTTCTTCGAGTTCGTCGTACCACTCGCCGGTGATTGATCGTTTGAATTTGTGGGTTGTGGTGAATTTCACGCTGTTGATGGAAGCATCATTGTTTTCGTCGATGATCATGTTGATGGTTCGAGCTGGTGAGGGTGGTTTTGGGGGTCCTTGGTGTTCGCGTCCTCGGGCGAAGTTGGTTCTTCCCATGTCGCTTAATAACTCTTTGAGGTGACCTTGCTGCAACATGTTTACGACTTCTTGCCTCAGGGCGATGCAATCCTCAGTTTTGTGTCCTCATTCCTGGTGGAACTCACAGAGGGCGTCAGACTTTCTGGTGTTCAGGTCCGATCTCATCTTCGGCGGCCTTTTCATTTTTGGTCCGAGTATTTTTAGGGCGTAGACTATCTCTGTAGGTGACACACAAAAACTATGAGCAGATAATAGAGGAGGCATACCTCGGTCATTCCAATGAGTTCCCGTCCTTCGTTTTGGTGTACCTCCTTCATAGCGGGGAGATGGGGCGGTGACCGTTATGATGTATGGTTGATGTTGTTCCCTATTAGGTCGTTGAATTGGATTATCTCTTCTTATATTGTCTCTTCGATCCTTTCTTGATTCGGTTGTACCGAGGTTAGTCAGTGGGTCGGCCCGCTAAGGTCATCCTTATCTGCACGGACCTCGGCACACTAAGCATTGCGGATTTCATCCCAAGTGGTTGGGGGGTACTTCATCAATCAACTCAATAGTTTCCTTGTTGCTTTTGAACCGTCCTTACTCAACCCATTCTGGAAAGCTGCGACCGCCATCCCTTCAAACACGTTTAGAAAATTCATCCTTACTCGATCAAACCGGGTGAGAAAATCCCCCAGTCCCTCTCCCAGAGATTGTTTAATAACAAATATGCAGTTTACTCTCGCCTTGGCCTTCTTGTCTCCGGCGTAGGCTGTTAGGAACTTCTCCCATTTCTCCAAAGGTTTCTATAGAGCGTGCTGGTAGTTGCGAATACCATGTTAATGCCCGTCCTCTAAGGGTTTCGCCGAACTTCTTCAGCAGGATGGAAGACACCTCTTCTTTGGCGAGGTCGTTGCCTTTTACGGCGGTGACGTAATGAGTCACAAGATCTTCAGGGTCGATTGTGTCGTCCAGAGGTAAGGCAACATTTTAAAGGTTTTTGTTATAGCATATGGGGAAGCGTCATCATTGTACAACTGTTTGACGAACCGGTCAGCATCTCTCTTCGGCAATAGCTTAGGAGCGCCCAGTATTTTATCGACCCTTTTTGGTGTTTTTTCATTTGGTCTCACAATGCTTTGTTTTCATTCTCTATTTATTTCATCTTTTTCGGAATGGCTGCAAGGTCATTGTCACCTGCACTATCAATGACATTGTGAGTAATACATGTCGTTGGAGGAAGAGGCTGGTTGTATTGTTCGTCCACTTGGTGTATCATGCAAGTCCTTGCGTTTTCTGTAGTCGTGTCTCGAGCGGGCTTGTTGAGGATGCTGGTTAGCGTGTCAATTAGTCACATTTCGAGGAGCTTTTTTTTACAACCGGAGGTGTCTCTTCCCCCAGAGATGTGGAGGCTCTCTTACCACGAAACTTTGTGATGCTGCAATGAGGGGGCGGTGAACCATCTCGCCTAGGGGAGGCACTGGGCATTACGCCTTCGTCTGTCGTTTCACAGCTTTCGTTGATGACGTTCATGAGGTTGGTCGGGAGGTCGTTTATTATCCTCGTCCTTTCTTCTTGGTTACCTGCCATGTTGGGATTTGTGTACACAAAGAAAAGAGATCTTGTTTTTTGTAACGTTAGAGACCCGTGTTAGTTGTAGATCTAGAGAACTAAAAATTTAACTAAAAAATCCCTACAAACGGCACCAAATTATTTGACCCAAAAATATGACTATTGGTTCAAATAATTAAATTTATGTGATAATGGGTTAAACTTAGTTAACAATAATATTTCTAGATGTAGCTTCCGAGAGTATGATAAAAGTTAGATTGATCTGATGAAATAGTGATAACGGTGTGCAATAACTATTCCAAAAAGCGTGAATAATAATGTAGTATTTAATAGCAATGGATAACAATAAATGACACTTAAGTAAATAGGAGGAATGATTCACCCAATAAAGAATGAACTAGATGATTGTCCCTCCTTACAATGATGAGTGACAAACAAATCCTTGAATATTAGAATTATTCTCGGATCTGATGGAAAAGTATGGAATAATATCGACAAGAATCTTAGTGAAAAGGTAATATTTGTATCTTAGTAAGAGAGAGAATCTTTTTGTCAAAGTCTGTTCTTACAAATGAATATTTGATACCTTATATCATGGCCTTTTTTCCTATTTATATGAGACATATTCCTAATAAACCCTAATAATACAAGTGCAGAGAATATCCACTAAAATATTTTCTTAAATATCCTATTTTGAAAACTAGCCGTTATAGCTTCATCAACGGTGCTCGACTTCGACCGTTATCAACACCTCGACGAAGACTCTCATCGACTCTTCGGCTATGAGTCTTGCTACTTCTTGCCACAGCTCGATTAACAACGGCTCGAGGATTCTTTTTTTTAGTGTTATCTTATCTTAACTATTTTAAAGCAGATTTGACCCATACAATTAGAATACTCTTTATTTGGATATGGTTTTACTATAGCTAATTTTTATCAGTTTTATTAATGTATATGTTGTATTTCTTTGATGATGATTTCATTATTTGAATACTTTATTTGGATGAATTGCAATGAGAATGATGAACTTGTTAGGCAATTTAACTTGATTATTTCATTTGGATGTTATTTTTATAATAAGAAATAATATCTTAACTTATAGGCTCAAAATCGAAAATTTGAAATATCTAAATCGATTAATCAAAAATCGAACTTAATCCAATCTAATCCGAGCTTATTTGGATTGGATTTGGATTGATATTTTTTCAATCTGAAACCAAAAATCCAAACTAAAATTTTTGTATCGAATCCAAACTGCCCAAATGCCTGCCCCCTTTTCATCACTAGACAAATCGACTTATTGTTCCTTTTGTTTATTTAAATAAAGCATGAGAAATGCATTGCAATTCAAAAATAAAGCAATTAAACAAAAAATTATTAGTGCTTATGAATACCCTTAGAGGTGATTAAGCATGATGCGCTTTCATTTTCACATCACGATATGTTATTTCCTATCAAAAGTAACGATATCAATTTATTTATTTTTTGGTTAATTTAATTACATTTTTCATTTCTTAATCTTCCCCCCTTTTTTTCTACTTATGCACGGATTGTTAAATCAATCAAACTAATAGTTTGTTTCTGTTATTTTTAATATTTTTCTTTTTTGAGAAAACCTTAGAAATATATAAACATGACTATGCTACACTAACAGGTCTTGTGTCACTCAATTTCAATTAACCCCCTATATTACAAATACAACATTTGAATATAAATACACTTGAAGATGAGAAATTTTGAATAATGTTGAACACTACATATTACACAAAGTCGAGCCATAAAAGTGAGAAACATAAGATTTGCTAGATATTACATACATATTCATTTTAAACGAGGCATAACACAAAATGATAAGAGAATTGAAAGAATTAACACCAATAATGTTATTAATGACCCGGTAAATGTTATCAAATTGAATGTCATAAACATATACATAACATTGGCATTATTCTTAGGTACAAAAAATGATAATTACAAATACACAAATTCTCTATAGAGCAAATTGGAAAGTCCAAAATATGTGAGAAAGAAAAATTATTGCTAATGGAAAAAAGAAAATAATATGAAGTCTGAATTTCTATCAGTCTTGTATGGTATTTATTTACTCTTGAGGCAATCAAACTTCTGTACACAAATGTATAGATAACTGAATGTATAGCAGCTTCTGAGAATGTCATTATGTGTATGTGGCTGTTCTTCCATTTTCTTGACTTTGAAATGGATCAACCCAACATTGATCTTCCTTGGTAGCTTTACGCCATCTATCTCGAAAAATCTTCATTTCTATATATGATTGTCTTCTGACCTGCATAATGTCATTAAACACAATGAACATGAGAAGAAGGATTCTGCAGCAAAGAGTTGCTAAAAATGCACAAGATTTCGTCGCCCATACTCCGTTTGAAGGGGAGTCTTAATGCAACGATAAAGTTGTCTCCGTGTGATCTATAGATAAAGGGTCGAGCAGGGGAAGCAGCCACTACTGCTTGCATTAGGGTAGCATGTCTACATCACACCCCTTGGGATGCAGCCCTTCCCCGGACTTGTGTAAACAAGGACGGAGCTAGAACAGGACTTACGGGTTCGGCCGAACTCGGTAGCTTTTGTCCAAACCATGTATATGTTTTAATAAATTCATCGAATATGTAAGATTTATTAATTTAGACTCACTAACTTAAACAGATAAGATTCAAGAATCCATAAACTTCAAATCGTGGCTCTGCCTTCGTGCGTAAATGCGGGATGCTTTATGCCCCGGATTACCTTTTTTTTTTTACCGTGTACAACGGCAACCTAACAACAAATGAACTACTGGTGCTTCTGGCTAGCCTTGAAGGAAAATGTTAAAACAGCTATGCGTATCTCTTTAGTATGGACATCACAATGGTTGTCTACATCTCACCTCTTGGGATGCGGCCTTTCCCCGGACTTGCGTAAATGCAGGATGCTTTGTGCATTGGGCCTCCCTTTTTTTTTTAACCGTGCACAACGGCAACCTAATAACAAATGAACTACTGGTACTTCTGGCTAGTGTTGAAGGAAAATGTTAAAAAAGCTACGCGTATCTATTTCGTATGGACATCACAAAAGAAATGCTTTATGAAGTAGAATTTGAACTTACCAAAGACCTATTATCAAATTTCTCAAAAGATGGATTGGCCTGCAATTCCAAAAGAAATTTCTCTTTTTTAAGAAAAACCAAAGGCAGAATACTTATGTAATTAAGCAGGTAAGATCTGCAGATCATACCAATGGATCAGAATCAGTTAAGTTCTTCCCTTGAAGTGAATGATCCAATTCTTTGTTTACCTACACAAATTAGAAACAGAAGTGTTACACAAGCCAAACACTTATCATCATATTGCCCTATAGTGTTAAAATTTCATCAAAAAATGTGCGGACAGGATCAATTATCAATGAAGGGAAAGAACTACTTGCCATTTCTACATCTGAATTACCACCCAAAGAAGGGACAGCCAAATGAGTTATGTACTCTGCATCAACCACACCGACTTTCCTTGTACGATCACCCTGAGAACTAATAACACATATTAGTATCATGCCAGAAGAGACGCGAAACAGAACATTAGTTATTTAAAACTTCTAACTAGGAATTTGCCTGCGCACAATAACCGAGCTTCATATCCAAGCCCCATGCATGGATCAGGTCATTCTGCAGCGAAAGAACAGGTAGTTTAAGACGGCTGCAAGTTTCAGTTAAAATTACTAGTATATCACAACTGAGCAGGTCTTTGTGAGGACTAAAAAGGTAACGTGATATGCTATAAACATAAGGAGCAATAGATAATCATGTTTATTAGCGTACACATTTTTAACCACATACAGAATCATGGAGGAGACAACAGTAAAAAGGCAAAAGAAAAGGGAAATAACCCAAAAAAAAAAAAGAATAAAGCAGTGGTTTGCGGTTCCTGTCCAGTTAATTAGTAAAAAATTTGGAACAATTGTATTCACCAATTCACGAGTCAGCTGATTAGCTTGTTAACCACTGGAAATAATAAAAGCTCCGGTACCTGGACCATATACCAAGCACAACGCCAGGCAGCTTTTGAGAATACAGGAGCCATCATTTCTACCCACCTGCACAACAACAACAACAAATAAAAGAAGCGTCAAAGCAGATTTACCCACCTGCACAACAGATTTAATAAAAATGAAAAGACAATGTTGTTTTTATTTCTAACCATAATAAGACATCTGAGCTATAAATAAAAGAAGCGTCAAAGCAGATAGACTTAGTTCGGAGAAACTTGTTATCAGATAATATTACATTGAGAAGAAAACAAAAACTTGCAGTTGTTTACCCCACGCAAGGAGGTGCAGTGCTGTTGTTATCACACCTTTGGCCACTTCTATTTAATCTGTAGAACCTCCTATCAAAGCGAAGAAATTACCAGTCAGCTTTTGGAACGAGACAATGTACATGCCAAAGCAAATAGACAAAAATAATATCAGAAATTTAACTTTTTCCCAAATGCTAGAACCTAGAGCGAAGTGATGTCCGTACTGTAAAGCCTGGTTGCAGGAAAACACACTACTGCCAGCTACATAGCACATATGGGTTAACGGTATTTTTTTGATTTTCTAACTGGAATGGAACTTTCCGTTTCAGTCTCAGTATCTCAAACTCAAAAGGGGGTTAAATCCTTTGGTCTGTGAGCTTGTTTCGCGAGTATAGGGAACAGGGATGCTTCAGCTACGAGTAGTGCTTCAACTTAAATAAGATTAATTTACTGTCCCATTAAGTGAACAATAAAAAATCTGTCTAACCTGTGCACCTTGGATCTCCCTCTGCGTACAGTAATATGATGATGTACCTCTGATTTACTAGCATCAAGTGCTGGCTGTGATATCTCCAGCCCTTCTTCTCTAACAATAGATATGTACCTGAATAAACCGTTCGCAGTGAGAACATTATTTTGTTACCAACTAACCTAATCCACGTAGGTTATTTTTTGCATGTAAAATTACATCACAAAACTTTTTCTTTGAATCTGCTCAATCATCAATCATTGGTAACTTTTTTTAGTACGAAAATATAAGTTCAGTAATCAAACTGTTGTCACTTAAGCACCCAACAGTTTCTCTACTCTGAACTCCGCAACGATATAGAAGACTGCATTGTTAGACAGACTTACTTTTCTGGATGGAAGTTTTCAACTCCTAGGTCCTCATCCCACAAGAAAATGTAGTCGTACTCAGAAACTATATCTGGGTGTAGAAACCTCTTCGCGAACCACCTATATGGAGAGTTAAATTAGTGAAAAACTGCAGGCAACTCCAGTAATCAATAATAAAAAAGTTGATAGGAACGAACTTTACCATTTTGTTTGGTTCATAGCAGAGACATGTAAGACACGGCTACTCCAATCTAAATCATTCCACTTATCCACCACTCCATCATAGTGAAAAAGCATCACAACAAAGTCATGTTCAAGAAACTGCAACAAGTTACATAAACAATTTAAGATGCAGATATTAAGATGACATTCACAAGCTAAACAGTAAGCAAAAGATTAAGAATCATAACCTTCTTAACAATTTCGTTCACCATCTCTTTTTGTTTTATTCCAACTGCAATCCCCAACAAGTTAACTGAATGTGGAGACTTCTTCTGAATATGAAAGTAATGCATCATAACCAAACACAAAAGCATTGAAAAATACCAGAAAGAGTTCAGCCAGTAAAACAATTCAGCTTGTGGGCGAGGGAAATGATACGGTAAAAATTCATGAAAAATTTACAGGTCCAGAACTTTTGCCATATTTCTTGAGAACCACTCTTCGGTTCGCAAACCAAAATTACACACAGGATATAGCATCATACACACATATGTANAAAAAAAAAAAAATACATATATATATATATATATATATATATATAGTGTCTGAGTGATCACATTGATGAACATATTCCTTTTGGCCATCCACTTTACCACCTAAGGATAATTGTGCACGGCCTTCATGACCTTCCTTGACCAGCATAGTCAAGACTGAAAGCTTTCCATAAAAACTCGTCAAAAAGAAAACCTAAGGCTTTCCGAACACATCAACTGATAAAATCCAAGTATTTAAAAAAGCACACAAAAGGATGGAGTATACATGGATGATCCATGAAATCATAATCATTCCCATGCAATGAACCAAAGATTATAGATAATCACGTGAAATGCCAAAAAACTCGTGGATAATCATAGACCGAAATAATTAGTTACCTCAACATCTCCCCACAATGGTCGCATTTCCAGGTTCGTAGTTTTAGAAACAATTCCTTCTGGGAGTGCCTCACTCCCTAATGGCCTGCATTTTTTCTGTGAGTAATAATATGAGAACCTTCAAAGAAGCCAAAGATCAAAAACCAAATTAAATACTAGCACTGCTCCTCAAACCTGGCATTTATTATTTTGCATATTCTCTGTCACGTGACTCTCTTCTTTTTCCTGTCTCGGGGGTACCTAATTAATGAAGTTCAGAGGTTAACTCATGGTGAATCCTGCAACTGTAGGACTATATATCCCAAATCAATCGAAGTTAGATTTCTCTTTTATGCAGCAAATGACTATATATCCCAAATCAATCGAAGTTAGACTAGTCTCAAGACTCTCGACCTGAATTACTTATGTTCTTCCAGATACATCAGTTAAACTTGAAATCTTCCATCTCAAAGGTGAAGTACTAAAGAGAACTAGACATTTTCTGCATAAAAGAGAAATCTCTAACTAAGTTGTGCCTCTTAAGCTTTGTTCTAATATATTTAACCCTTTCCAGAAACTAAATTAAAGGGGTATAAACCATTAATTTAAATCCAAAAGCAAGTAAAACAGACTGTCCATATTTTCGTCGAGTTCTTGCTCTCGTAGCAAGCGTAGGTGAAGGAACTCAGGAAGAGTAAAGAGAAAAACTTTCACAACACCCTCTCTTCAAATCCTCAGGAGCAGCAAAGCACTAGAAGAACATTATGAAGTCTAATGCAAGTAATAACAAAGTCCTACATTCAAACAGATAGTTCATATGGTAACATAAAAAAAGAAAAAACTGAAGCTATAGAACACAGAAAAGCTAAAACGCAGTCTATACAATGTTAGGAAGGGAGGACATGAGGGAGAAAAAAGTGGTACGTCTCACTTCCACTTTTACGAGTTTCTCACTTCCTAGTTGTGGTCTCTCGGTATAGTTTAGAAACTCTTGTATAGAAAAGCAACAAATTGAAAGGGAAAAGACTATGGCCAGTTAGCGAAAGCTAGCCCATACACCTTTCTGGACAATTTAGAATAAAAGGAATAGATAATTCAAGGAAACTAGAAGAGCTCGACAAATTTGAAAAATGTTTTGTATCATTTATGCTCTCATTGCAAAGAAAGAACAAGGTTTTGCATAGATTGTTGCATCGCCTTGATAGGCAAGAATGCCTATACTCTTCCATGGTGATTTAATGAAATCCATGGTGATTTGAAGAAAAAAAAACTCAGACTAAAACCAAGGGTTCTCAATGATGTAGATTTTGGTGAGTATAACCAGAAATAGGAAGAGTCGAATTCAGAAAAGCTAACAACACATCGGCAAAATTCCGTCTTCTGAAGAAACAAACCTCGCATTTTCTGCATTGTCCATTCTTCTGTGCATGGTTCACTGTCAAACCTGAAAATGCCTACAAAAATTCAAATTAGTAGTTAAGCATTCAGTACCAAAGTACCTGTTTTCTGTCATATTAAACAAGAAGCTGAGACATTACACCAAAATATAATGAATGTCAGTTTTGTTATAGAAGGAACAACATAGCTGAAGGTCTACAAGCCTAAATGTCCCTAACTAAAATTCTGAAATGCATCTGAGCAGAAACATCTACGGTAGTCCGTCCCTTTTGAAGATAATAAAATTTCGATGCCAGTTAACTTGCTTTTGCAGGATGAGTGCAAGTGATAACAAATTTAACACTTCAATCAACCAAATCATTCAAGTAGGTGAGGAAAATAATTTCTAGTAGATTATACACGAATTAAAGCGGTTAATAGTAAAATCACTCAAATTGAATGTAATAACTAATTTATACCCTGAAATCCTTAGCCATCAAAGCACTTCCAGTGAAGTAGACACCAAAAATTAAAGCAACAGTCATGAAGAGGCTGCAGATACATGATCTACTTTTAGGATCAGGCACAGAAACCTGAAAAAATGGAATGAGTACAAGATACCTCGTTAAATAGGAAAACAAATTCCATAGTCTTAAATGTTTAGCAATGAAATATTAGTGTTCTCCCCATCCAAACTACATATCCACTTTCCTGAACTGAAAACTCTCAAATACTATTGTATAATGAATAAAGTTATATGCTGCCCAGTTTTTCCTATGATCTTTTAACAGATAAATTTTAAGTTACCATTCATAAAAAGAAATTAAAAAAAAAAAAAACTTTAAACAGACAAATTTTAAACTTTCATATTGTTAGTCATACAAAGTCAACCTTGGACATTAAAACCAGGATAGAGAGAGTATCTTGATGAATCGTTAACTCATATGTCTTTTTTGTTTAACATAGTAGAATGAGTCTCCAGGATGACTTGGTGAAGTATCCCGTCTTAAGTTAACGCCAGTTTAATAGTAGCACACCATAGAGGTTTTACTAAAAATGTCTTACAAAGTTTACATGAATCCTTAACAAATTTGCCACACACAAACTGGAATTGGTTTTGACCCTCAACCTTATGCTTTTGGCTATTGCAACCTTTAGATAATATCCAATCATAGAATAACAGAATAACACCCTAACCTTTCCTTGAAAACTACTGCTAGTACTTATTATCAAACAAAGTTCATTATGTTTCATAATTCTAATGTCAGTATCCATTATCTAGTTTAATTAAGTCCAACGACTAAAATAAAAGAATTAAACTCTTAAAAAGTTTTAAATAAAACCTAACTGAAAGTATTTGAGTTTTGCCACTAGGAGACAATCTAGTTATCCAGATGCTCAAATTAACTTTTGCTTCTTCAGTACAAAGTGAAAGAAATAGAAGCGGGACCATAACAAGTACTACTGCCTATTCCTCCCTTTACTTACAAACATTTACAAAGGACACAAATTCGGATAGAAGCGACACTATTGACCCTTCTTCTTATCATATCAATATATAATTCTAAGTTGCCCAGTTCAATGCTTCTTATTTTCCTTCAAATCCCCATAATTTTGAAAAAATTCCTGGAACACTTAAATTAACCATGTAATTCTAATAAGAACCTTCAATTTCCCAATAACTTGAAACAAACAGACAAAATAGAAAACTTTTGTTATAAAAATGACATTTTTACTGTTGTTTACTCTTCCCTTGCTTTTCACCAACCCCAGAAACAGCATTAACCACGTCAACCTCAATCACTGGAAACCAACAAAACAAAAATACTGTAACTACATAAAAAGACACAAACAACCTCAAAATGATTAAAGAAAGGATAAGTTTGAACTTCAAACTGTAACAGTACATACATAAATTCTAGTAGCATGCAACTTGAAAAGTACCCCCACCACCACCCACCCACCCACTAATCCAAGACAACTGAAGAAAAGGGGTTACTTACAGTGTTCAAAGACTTCATCTTTGCATTAATGAAGCTCCAAAACAAGTACACACGACGGGTTTTTGATATCAGATATGCTCAAAAGAAGCAGAAGAAAGAAAGAAAAGAAGAAAGAAAGAAAAGAAGGAAGGACAAAAAGATAGACTTTTAAAAATTGGAGCTTTTCAATCAATAGAATGAAGAAAGTCCAATAGTCCTTATAGAAAAGCAACGCGTCAAAAATAGAACCCAAAGTCTATAGAAAGAAGGAACAAAAAGGATAGGTATTTTGCATATTCAGTCACTTTCAAAAACTGCTCAAACGCTGTCCCTCCCTCTTCCCCACACCTTCAAACCTTTAATTTAAAAACAAAAAATAAAATCCCACCATTACCAATATGTATAGGTGTTGAGATAAATAGAAGAAAGAGTGTCCGGTTTTTTAATGAAGAAGAAGACAGAAGTACAAGAATTCAACTTAAGAGAAAAAACACTTGAGAAAAACAAAGTATTCTTGAAATGCTTGAACCCGAGTTACACGGATTTGTATAGTCGTTCTTGGACGTGACCAACCTGTCTTCTCGCGAGTAGTAAAAACCTTCTCTACTCGCTACTTACTATTGCCACGTGATTAGTGGAGCCCACTGGCGGTCGTGGAATAGTTATTGTCCAGTTATGTTATGCTAATCCATAAGTTTAATTTAAGTAATCCTTTGCTTTAGTAAAAAGGTTAATGTCTTGCTAAAATGAGAAATGAATTGATGGAATTTGTTAGAAGGAAAAGGATAGTAAGTTTTTTAATGTATAGATGTGACAGTTGGATATGGTTAATGGTATTTCCGTTGTACAAAATTAGGAAAAATAATACATATATATAGGTGTGTTATATAATAAAAATATAAATTTTATATATTTTTGTGACTATCCAATGAAAATAAATTTGGCGACGGGTTAAAAGTGATGTTTGCCTGTATCGAATTTATTGTTCTTGTTTTTATGGAATATTTTATTTGTTTGACATTCTATAAGGAATAAGTGGAAGTTAACGTTTTTGATTAGATATTATTGGTTTGGTTTGACAATTTTTCACAATCTTGATTTTAATTCTATGTAAGGCGCAGCATCCTAATATTTAAAAGTTTTATTGATTTGGTCGAAGATTACTAAAATGATTAGTTATTAAATAACATTGCAAAGAAAGGTATAGTGGAGCTAACGTGACTTTGAAAGGCTTCAATTATTGGATTAAATGGGAATTAAATTGAAATAATTTTGGAATAAGGTGGCGTGTGTTATGATAAATATCACATTATGGTAGATGTCTACTCGTCTTCCATAATCTTCATCTCAAATGTTTAATGACATATTCAATGATATATTTTGTATGTTCAATGACATATTCCATGATATATTTTCTTCACTTTTTATGCATATATAAATGTCTTATAATAGATAGGAAAATACACACAATTGAAGAAGAAAAACTCTTCCTTCTCTCTATTTCCATTTCTTGTTCATGTTTTACTAATTGCTTTTATTTCCTTGTTCCATATTGTTACTTTGAGTTATATTTCATAATGCGTTATCAGCACGAGTCTCTAACCAACTGTATATATATCTACAAAAAATTTCCTACATCCAGAAAAATTGCAATTAGAAGTCATACATATCATCTCATGGTTAGATGTAAAGGGAAACTACATATGGTAAGTAATGAAACGTAAGAATGTATGATTATTTTATACTTGTCATTCCTTTAATATCTTATATGCACACAACTTCGTACTACACTTGTATTGCATAAGCACATATTAATATTACATCTTTTATATCACATGAACGGAATGAAATTTTCGAAGTTCTATATGTGAAAACTATAGCAGCAGTTAATTGTTGATATGATGCCTGTCGTGGTAACCAAGGATATGTTATATAAAACAAGAGATACTTCTTTGAAATATCTAGGTTGATTAATTACTTCTTTGAAATTCGGAAAACAAACCAGCTATTAAGAAAGTATACTTCATAATTTATGATTGTATCATTTGAAAGCAAACAGTGATTAGTATGACTACTAGAAGAGGTATTTTCGAGTATCTATGATCTACTTGATGTTCGCTATTGACTTACCATTTTTAAGTATTTTATATGAATGATGCATAAGTTACAACTAGTAAGTTGTTATCTATAATGTCACTTTTCAGGTAATACAAATGCTGAAGTTATTTATTAGTACTATATATGTGTTGTTACTTATATATTGTACTTTTGATAAATTTATTCACTAATTGCTTGGTTGAATTGAGTGAAGGAAAGTTATGGCATTAATTCAAATTCAATAGGTAGAGTATACCCTGAAAACAACAATATTTTTTAGAGAAGCTCAATAAATATTATGACAATAATTTTGTGACGACCCGGCCAGTCGTCTCATGAGTTACCGATCCATTTCCCCCATTTCAGCTTCTTTACGCTTCGTTATCCGTGTTTTATGTGATCGAGTTTATTAGTTCGAGTTCAGAGAGGATTTGGTAAGAAATGAGACACTTAGTCTCTTTTAAGAAGGCTTAAGTTGGAAAAGTCAATCCGATGTTGACTTATGTGTTAGAAGGCTCGGAAGTGAGTTCCGATGGTTCGGTTAGCTTCGGGAAGTGATTTGTGACTTAGGAGCGCGATCGGAATGGGTTTTGGAGTTGTAGAGAAGATTTAGGCTTGAATTGGCGAAATTGATATTTTGGCAAATTCCGGTTGATAGGCGA